TTTATAAATGTTAATAAACCTTGAGGTTAGACATTGTTGGTTGAATGTAAATATATAAGGAACAAATTGTTATAATGTTTTTAACATGCTATGTTAAATGAAAATTTTAAGTTTCTAGATTGGGGTATTGGTTTAATATTATTGGTATACTTAATATGAATACATTATGTGTACTTAATATATTATTGAGTACAATTATTTTAGAAAAGTATATTAATATAATAACGTTATCAGTTTTAAATCTGGATGTATGATCAATTTATTGAAATATAATAATGTTCATTGTATAAATTTTAAAATGTAATTCGTAGTATCACATATATAACTAAAATATTTTTTGGACAAAAATATACAACTAACTTCAAATATTTTTTTGACATAAACTTACAACTAACTTGACATATACAATACCAAAAATATTTTTTTATGGGATTAATAAAAGCTTTTTTAGCAAGAAAATGTCTTGAATCATTCCTAACAAAATGTTATTGAAGACGTTTTTAACCAAAATCGCCTTCAATAATTTCACTTAAAAATATATTGTGTGGAATAATAAAGGCATTTGGGACAAAAACGCCTTCAAGAATCTGTTCCAAATATTGTGTATGGATTATTGAACGCATTTTTGACAAAATCCACCTTCAATAATTTCTGTTAAAAATTTATTAATTGGATTATTAAAGGTGCGTTCACCCAAAAACGCCTTCAAGAATCCATTCCACATATTTTTCTATGGATTATTAAGGGTATATTTAACAAGAAAACACCGTGAATAATCCATAACAAAATGTTATTGAATGCGTTTTTTATCAATAATCCTATTTAAAAATTTATTGTGTGGAATATTAAAGGCGTTTTGGCAAAAAAACACCTTTAAGAATCCGTTTCAATTTTTTTGTATGAATTATTGAAGGCGTTTTAAAAAAAAATCACTTTCAATAATACCAACTAAAAATTAATTGAATGAATTATTGAATGCGTTTTCAACAAAAAAAACCTTCAATAATCCGTTCTATATTTTTCGTATGGATTATTAAAGGTATTTTTTTACCAAAAACGCCTTGAATAATCCATTACAAAATGTTATTGAAGGCGGTTTTTAAAAAAATCACCTTCAATAATTCGATCATTCAAATTTATCATGTGAAATATTAAAGGCGTTTTGAGCCAAAAATGCCTTCAAGAATCCGTTCTAACTTTTGTATATGGATTACTGAAGGCGGGTTCGACCAAAAACGCCTTTAAGAATCGATTTAATATTTTTCCTATAGATTATTAAAGGTGTTTCTCTACCAAAAACGCCTTCAATATTCTCTCCAAATTTTTTAAAAATAATTGATGAAGAAGTTTTTGTCTAGAAAACGTCTAGAATAATTAATTACAAATAATCTCTGCCAAAACCTAAAAAATGCTAAAGGGAAGGATTAAACCTACCAATTTATGTTTAACATCTGTACGATCCTAAAATTTTAATATGATATTTATTGAAATTATTTTTGATCAAAAACGCCTTCAATAAACCTGTGAAATTTTTTGGTGGAATTATTAAATGTGTTTCTTGTAAAAAACGCCTTCAATAATCACATACATTTTTTTATAAGGAGATTATTGAAGGCGTTGTTTGCCAAAAATGCCTTTAGTAATTCTCTATCAATTTTTTTAATGGGATTATTCAAGCTGTTTTCTGTCAAAAACGCATTTAGTATTTACTCAAATTTTTAAGATAAGATTATTCAATGTATTTTAGTCGATAAACACCGCTAATATCAAGTATTTGATGACATTTATAAATAACAACACCGTATTTGAATATTTAGTGGCATTTTGATAATAAACGCCTTAAATTTTATAAAAACACGAAAGTTAGCCACATTTGTAAGTGAAACGGCACTACAAAACTATCACTAATCTTTCATTTTCTTGTAGTACCTTTAAGTCTCTCAAACTCTAATCTCAAGAGATTAACCAACATCCATGCATGCTATCTCAACTAATACTTGATTGACGTTTATTTTTATTTTTTAAAATTTGTTTTGTAAAGATTGGCACATTTTGTATGATTTATTTTTCATTCTTTATATAGTATTATATAAAACAACACAATGTGTGTGATTATATTAAAAATAAAATTAAAATTAAAACCCTTTATTTTATGCGTGTTGGAGTGTGATTTTTCTTTTTAGAGATTGATTAAATTTATTTATACTGTTATAAAAATGGATAAATTTTAGGCTGATATCTTGGAAATGAGGATTTCGTTTTCTATAAAGAAATGGAAATGAAGGCAGCATGACTGGGTTAAAGTGTGTGCACTAAGCAACGTATAAGCATGTCAAATATATGTTAATTATGAATCTGGAAAAAAAAAATCGTGAGGCATGAGGAATTCTGGAACTATGAAAAATCATTCAGTCTTTAAATACTTAATATAGATATAAGTAGTATTATCTATAAATATAGTTCTTTTTTCTATCATGTTATTTTCCTTTTTTACAATTGTAAAATAATTTTTAACAAAATAGTATATGAAATATTTTTCGATTGTTATATTTTGATCACGGTTATTCTAAAATTAGAAATATAATGATAAATTTGTTTTAAAATTAAGAGTGTCCTGCAAAACTTGTACCAATTGAAAATTTTATAGTAAATTTGAATCATTCACGTAAATAGAATAATAAATTTGCACATTTTCTCCTAAAAAAGTGTTTACCCTTTATTTACCTCTCGAATGGTGATGTTTATAGTCTAATTATAGCTTTAATGGATTATATCAATATCTAACATACATAGACTTTTATCTTATTTTATCAATCTTTGTGATAAATTTATAAATTTATGATATTAATAAACTCAATTAACTATGGATATATGTACTTCATTTTCTGTATCATTTAAAATTTTGAAACTAAATTTATATTTACTATTAATTAATTATGAATCAAATCCAAAATGAATATAAATATTTACGAACTTAATCATTCATGAATTTATAATATTAATAAATTTAATTAATTATGGATAAATGTACATAGTATTTAATATAATTCAAGTTTAATATATTTATTAAATAATATAAATACACATAAATCAAATTATTTTGATGACTCAACAACACAAGCTACATTGCTTAAGATCTATTCTGCGAAGAATCTCCATAAAAAAAGGATAATTATAAGTCAATAATATAGCAAACTTTTTCTTACTATAATTTTTTAAATATAATTTCTTATATTATTAATTTAAAATTATTGTTATAATTTAATTTTTTTATATTTCAATATTAAAATAATTAAAAAAATAAATATCCATTGCGTGAGATGTGATCTTGAGTATTTATATTTCTATCACTATTGTTTGTTTTTTGAAACAAGATGAATTAAGAATAGTAAAAAACCTAAGTACGAAAACATTTTTAATTTGCCCTTATTTTGTTGGAATTAGAGATGTTCATAAGTCAAGTTTGAGTTGAATCAGATTCATACTTAGTATTAATAGCTTATTTATTTATTTAAGTTTGATCCAATATTTAGACTTTAAAATTTTTTCAAAGTTCGGCCTAAATTAAAAAAAAAATTTCAAATTCACCTATGAAATTTAATTTATATAATAAAAAATAAAAAAATTATTTTTAAATAAAATATTAAAATAAAAATTCACATATATATACTCATATAATTATAATATTTTAATTATATATTTTATTTAGATTCAGCTGAGCCTAGGCTTTAATTTTTTTATTTAAGATTCAACCTAAAATTTAAATGGACTTTAAAATTATACTTAAATTCATTTAACGAGTTTTAATTTTTTGTTCACTCTCTTTAAACTTAGATGGATCTTTAAACTTAGACAAATAGTTCGACTTTTAAATATGTTTATTTGGAATGAAATAAAACAAATAAAAAGGGTGTTTCTAAGTTTTCTAACTATTAAGCAATATAGTATTTTCATACAAATAATAATACTAATAATAATAATAATAATAAAAAATTATTTTCATCAAAAAAAAAAAAAAGAAAACGATACCGTCTAAATTTTTTTTTTGGCTAAATACCAAAATATTGAACTATACTTTTTTTTTTTTAAAAAAAATTCCTATCTCCTTCCCAATTTTCTTTTTTTTTTTTTTCAAATTTCAACTAATCTTTTAGACGCTGATAATTTTTTTTTTTTCCTTTTGCTATTGTCTTTTATTTCAAATTTAATTTTTATTTTTATTTTAAGAAAAATAAAAGTAAAAGTAACAATTAAACGGAGCCTTAATTAACTTCCATTTGTATTGTAGTTGGTCCGGTTTTGCATCTGAGTAGCTGAATTAAGCATCAAGAACCCTTCATGGAAAGACTTAATTTGCTTTCAAGAGACCAACATAGCCAATAGTTCAAAGCATAACCATTATTACCCTTTGTTCTAATTTCTTCTAATTTGTATACATATATATTTATTTATATAAATAAAAGAACAGGAATTGGTAAAACATTTAACTGAATAAATTGAAGTTATATATTTATTCATTACAATTTTAAATTATCATTTTAAATGCTTTTATTAAAAATATGAATAAAATTTATCCAATTGATAAATAAAAATTATAATTTCATTAAATGATTTCCAGTAAAAATATTTTATTGTTATAAATGTTAATAAGATTTATTCCATTTACAAACAAGAATTATAATTAATATAAAAAAATAGAAAACAAATAATCTAATATAAGTGTATCAACCAAATACAAAGAATTCAATATCAAGTATATCAACCAAATGGGACACATAATTTTATTAAATTCAAAACAAACAATATAAATCCACAAATATTCATTACATTATTTGATTATTATTCCATATATATCAGCAAGTATTTTTAAAATTTATTAAAGGAAGTTAAACTATTGCCCATGTTACTTATGTGACAATCTTTTAATTCCGTTAATAAAATTTAAAATCTTTACCATGATATATTATTTTCAACAATTTACTAGTCAGTGGGAAACAAAATTATTTCATCTCTTCTGCCTCCTCTTCAAATGCAGTCACCGGAAAACTCTTTGACAATCCCATGGGAGTAGCAAAAGTGATTTTGGTTGGATCAGCATCATCCACATAAATATCAGAAAGAGTAATCCAGATCATCATCTCCTTGCTTTTGATGCCTGTCAACTTCCGCATCCGACCATCCTCAATAAACGCTGTAATCTCGGGACCATATGAGGAGGCTCCAAGGGACTTGAACCAATACTTGAAAGTCTTGTTCTGTTTCAGCCAGATGAAGCCTGTGGTCCGGTTGAACCCGACCTCGACGAGGTTGCTCAAAGGCATTAACCCTTTTGGCAGATGGAAGTGGTCGAGGAGCTCATGCGCTTTTTGCTTGCAAAGAGCCGCTCCATGGTAGATCTCAGCCCCTTCTCGGCGACTTGCTATTTGCTTTGATGCCATGTTCATTACTTGTGAGAATGCAAATTGTAACGATCCCAGTGTCCTTATATATAGGCACTTTTACCTTTTGGAGAGAAAGTGGGAGAATTTAAAACGGCAGTTTTGTGTTTATTTTTATTTTCTTAATAATTTCTTTATTTAAAGAATTTTATCTTTTTTTTTTTTACATATTTTGAAGTTTGTTTGTAAAGATTTGCACATTTCTATAATTTATTTTTCATTTTTTATATGGTATTATTATAAGCAACAAATGAAATGCATGTTATTATATTGAAATTAAAAGCAATTTATTAATGCACACATTGATTGATTTTATTTTGATACTAAAATAAAAAAACGGATTTTTAAAGATGATATTGGAAATGAGGATTTGTTTTCATATAAAGAAATGGAAATGAAGACTCACACTGTGCACTAGTAAGCTTTCCAATTATATGTTAATTATGAGGTAAAAAAAAAAAATCGTGAGGCGTGAAGGATATTGCTGGATTATGGAAAATATAAAACAAAAGAAATTAGTTGTTCTTTTATTATATCTATCTATCTATCGATATAACTATTTATATATATATATATATATATATATAACATATTTTGATCCTAGATTAATTATTTTCAAATCAAACGTTTATATCTGTTCAAAGAATGGATTATCCACCCGGCCCGATTTGGATGGGGTCTCAGACAAGGTTTGATTATAGCATTAATTTATCAATGTGGACTCAAAGCTCCAACATTAAAAGAAACAGAAGCCCATGTTAAAATATGGCAGGCCCGAAGTCCATACTACATTTGTTTTTGTGGCAGTAAAGTCCAAACTAATATGAATAAATCCAAGTCAAGTAAATACTGTCACGTAGTAAAAAAATAAACTCCCTACATACAAACTAATTTAGTCTATTAATTTAAAGTAATTATATGCTTGATTACAACATTTAGAATGTGCTTGGTAGGGTGGAAAAATATAAGGATGAATAAGGGAGGGTGAAAAAATGAAAAAAAATTTTTTTGAGTGTGCTTGATTATTAAAAAAGTGAAAGGAAATACAATAAAAAAGATGATATTTTTCACATTTATTCAAAAATAGAAATCATTTCAAATTGGAAAGAAAATAAAAGAGAAAATGAGAAAGATATTTTTTTGGATCTAATTGATAGGAAATGAAAATAAGAAAAAAGAAAAAAAAAAGGAAAGATAAATATTTTTCACACTTACTCAAAAAAGAAATTATTGCAAATTGAAAAAAATAAAAGAAGAGGAAATGAGCAAGAGCAAGGTATAAATTGTTGCATATTTACAAGATTGTACATCACATGTAGAGTTTACATTTTCAACTTAATTTTTAAAAATTATAATGGTAGCATAATCTTTTTTATTTTTTAACTCTATCAAATAATGGTTAAAAATATATTTTAATCAAAAAATACTTTTAATTTTTGCATCTTTACTATCAAGCACACTAAGGAAAAGAAAAAAAAAAATTTTTTCCATTTTACAATCTATATTTTCATAAAAGAATTTATAACTTTGCATACAACCGAGTATAAATTTACAAGAAAATGAAAAAGGAAAAAAGGAACTGACGAAAAAAGAGTGGAGGCAAATCCCAAGGACATTAAGAAACCATTTTTTATGTGGAACTTCATTAATTACTTGAATAACTTCTGAAATTAAGCTGTTTGTGAACACTAAATCCACAGCCACTTCAAAGGGCACACCAATTTGCAGCATCGACCGAAAAACACCACCCATTTACTCTTTATTTTAATGCCTAGGTTGAAACTCGAATTGAAAAGCTTCCAAAGAATAATACCACCGCCACAGCCGAAAAATCATTAATAAAATAGTTGGATAACCCTCAACCTGTTATGCTTGTCAGCTTTTCTCTGCGAAATGTCGTTTGGTTTGTTTTTTTTCCATTTTTTCCCTCTATTTGACCTTTTCTTTTTTCCTTCCATATTCTGTGACACGTTAGTCAGGGACAAAATCAACTATGGGATTCACCCCACATTTCCAAAAGATACTTCTGGCAACTGCTGCCATTCAAATAGAAATTTTCATGACTGCCCCTTTTGTTCCCTTTGGGTCTGGTCCCTGCAGACGACCTGGCTTCAATATTCCCCAATTTTTTAAGGTTGTGCCTGTATTCCACTACAATCTGCTCAAAAACTTCCACCTCAAACATGTTCAACGTCAGCTTTGGGTTCATTTGATCTCTCACGAAAGCAAAACCCAGTTGGTCCCTAGGGTTAAATGCTTCCAACTCATTGAACAAAAGGCAGGAGAAAAGATTGCTTCCCAATCCATGTTTCCTCAACATTAATGCACTATCTGGTACATCTGCCGACCAAACATAAGAAAAAACAGATATATATGGTAATTCAAGAATTCTGATTGATATGGATATAACAGTAAACTTCAACATCATTGAAAGCTGCATTGCTATTCGATAGGGAAACATAACATGATAACATGCTTATTGGAACCCCATCGATTATTCATTATTGATTAAGACGTTTCTTTTGCATCTTTTTTTGGGACCATACATTTAGCTTTCTATCAAACTCCTACATCTCATAGCAAGAACATGATGTAGTAGCCGTCAAGTTGGGTCTTCTTGGTTTTAGGACAAAGTGATAAGATTTTTCTTTTTGGCCAAACAAATTGCAATAAGATTATGTGGTACATATTTTATTTTTTTAAGGTAAAACATGAGGGGAAGAAGAGAAAGAAAATACCCATACGTATAAATACTAGTAAGTAGTAAACTTATTCATGGATTTTCTTAAAGGTCAAAATTCAAAAAACCAATCCCATTGGGATCATGGACGTGCTTTCAAGGAACTTCAAAACTACGCAAGCAGTCATGATACGGTTGGTAGCTAATAATCAAAATGAAACTATAGTGCTAATTTTTTTATAATTCATGATCATTTCTAATGATCATAAACCTAATACACATTTAACAAGGGATTTGTGCGTAATTTTTTTTTATGTATTTTTGTGAATTCTACTTGTGTTGGTTGTCTTAGAAAAATAATGAATTTGTTGGTTAAATCTAAAACTAACCAAACCATTACATAAATACTATTATGAAGAAAAAAGACTATCTATAATATTCGACAGCTTAGCTTGTGTAATAAAAGCTTGATGGACAACTTTAGCGTGAGAATCTAAAAAATAAATTGTCTCTTCATTCAAACTGATCACTAGAGGAAAAGGAATATGTTCCATCTCAGTTCTGGCATCATTTTTCTGCATGGGTTTATTCAATATTATGGAAAGAAAATTTCTTTGAAATGGAAGGGAAAGATATCAATTTTCACCTTGTGTTTCTAAACAGTTTTTTTTGACAAAGCAATTCATCAATGAAAATTTATGATCACAAGAACAATTAAATAAAGTAGGAGAGAATGAGATTATTACCTGTGGTATAGGGCAGCTTATCGGAAGTCCATGGCTGCAACCCATTTTCACAGTATGTCTCCATTTGCCTGGTTAAGGCATCAACATCCAACCATTTCTTCCACCTTGCCGTCGCCATAGCTTCTTCGATGATATGAATATAATAAGGATGCTTTGATATAGCCATGTCCGCGTTCGGTGATACAACAAGAGAATGTACCAACAACAATGGATCACCATAAGCTGAAGCTTCGCGTCTATCCAAATGCTGAATTTCGAGGTCGGAAAAAGTCGATGAACCAAGTATTTTGGTATCACCCCATTTATTGCAGGATTCTCATACAGTCTCTTGGATGAAACTCTAACGATTCTCCAGACTCCGACATTGTAGTCAGGTGAGTCTTGTGTTATTACTTGGTGAAAATAAAGCCCTTTAAGGGTTATATCATCTGGAAACATGAAGAAGCATACACTATCTATTGTTTTAGATCCAAGACCTATTGGTTGCTGGATTTTGTCATGATCATTGAAGATTGCAGATACTACAACAACTCCATTGCAGCTTTCCATGGCAATTCGATCTGAATTATACCATAAACAAATAAATTAAAGAGAATCAACCATATATGAACAAAATAGAGATAGATTGTAGCATTAGTTTGAGACAGGATTGAGGATTTTCACAAAAATGGAATGAAAATGCAAGGGCAGGTCTCAATTCAAGCTAGAAACTGAATAAAAAAAAGGATAAAGTTTTAAGCTGCTTCAATTTCATTAATTGAACTAGACAAGAAAAAAAGGGAAGAAGATGACTCCAAATAGCAAATTCTCGAGAATTCAGATAAAAACTAACCAGAATTACTAACAGGAAAATTTTTGAAAAATCCACAAGGGACTTTAATGCCATTATTGGAATGATTAAAATAAGAAATTCTCTTCTGGGTACTCAAATTTCCACCAAAAGTGTCACCTTTCCCCTGTAAATACCTCAGAGCCGGTAAAAATGCTGAAAAATTCTTACACAAATTATGGATCTCCTCCACCACCATTACATAATCTGGTCACAAAATCCTATACCCTTTAGTACAAAATCACAAAAACAATCATCAAAACCAAAACTTAAACAAAAAAAAAATCCATGAAGAAAAAATCTGAGATAAGCCAACATACCAGAGAGGAAGACGGGAGGAACAAGAAGAGCGGTCGGTGGGGATAGCATACTTGTGTTCTCCATAGGAAGGAGGGTAAGAAAAGAGTGGCGTTTGGATTGGATCAAAAGGAGAGGGTCTAAAGAGGCATTTGACGGAGGAGAGAGAATGGTAGAGAGCAAGGAAAAGAGTGATGAAGAGATACAACAGAAAAATACAGAGGAGTTTTGATTGGAAGAACAGAGGAGTTGTTTTGGCCGTTACCTTCCCCATAAAGCGAATACCATTTCCATGAGTTTCCTTCCTACTATATCGTTTTCCATATTGATATCATCATCCTATTCGTTTGTCATTTCCTTTTTCTGCTTTTCAACTACATTTTTTTTAAATTTTTGGGAGTAAATAATCTCATGGATTTGAGCTCATGATAAACTTATGTCTCATAAATAAAACAAAAAGAAGAGAGGGAATTGTTGTGCAATTTGCATAGTTTAATTACATTTTCTAGGACTAGTTTATTTGTTACAAATGAGAAAGTCAAGGGAAAGATGAGGTTTAAACTTCGGACCTTAATTTTGTTAAAGAAGTGATAACCATTTGGTCACTCTGGTGTAGCAGGGGAGTCCCGAATTTGTATTACTTTTGGTTTGTACATTATTCTTTATGGGGAACCTCAATATGAAAGTTAAAAATCACGAGAATAAGCAGAGATTTTTAATTCAATTTGGCATCGTTCAATGCCATTTTTCTTGTCTCTTTTCAACTGTTTTTAATCAATTTTTCTGACGAGTCCACCCTCCAATGGACAAGCTGATTATGAATCTCATTCTTCATTGATGGTTAAGAAAGGCTGTTTAAATTGGACTAGGAAATTTTGCTCCAGAACTGGTGCTCCTCTAATTTAATACCAAAGGACTTCGGGTGTTTGGTTGATCCAATAAGCTAAAGAAGCACTCATTTTCTACGCTTGGAAAAGCTCGTACAGTCTTTGATTTTCATCAAGTTCTGGAGAGTTTAAAACCAACTATTTCCTTTATTATTAATTACTTCAAGTTTCCAAATTTTATAGTATTATGAAGATTTAAGCTCAAGAGTAGTTGAAAATGCAGGCTTATTGTCATGTTCATTGACTTGTATATTTTAAGTTTATCGGTTCATATAATTATAACTAAATAGTATTTAGAAGGTTGAAATTCAAATAATAACATTTTTATTTTTTATTTTTAGAATGCAATTTCTTTTATTCAAAAATAATAAAAGAATAAAATTACAATATTGAAAAACTATACAAAACAGCTTAAGAAATTTAAATAAATGTATGCATTGGAGTGGGATTTGGTTTGATCAATTCCATTTGTTGAATTTGAATACATCTTATCCTTATGTGATTTTGTTACGAATCCATGCAAATCGGTTATTAAGTAACTTTTAGCGATATTAATAATTTCAGCTGTACAAAAGACCAATACATGAACTTAGATTTTTAAGATGATTGAACAATAGATTTTTAAGATGATTGAACAATGCCCAAAGCTTAAGTGTGTTTAAGATGATTTAACCTTATACATCATAATATATATATATATATATATAAACATATATATATATTATATTACAATATACATAATTATCCAGTAGCAATTATTGATGTAAACACTTACATGAATAATTTTTTTTAACACGTAAGATAATTTTTAAAATTTTTCATTATAATGATACAAAAGATATTTATTAATTTTAAATTATTTATAAAAAATATATTTTAAAATTTATTAAATTATCCATAATTTTAAATTTAATCAAAAATAAATTTAAATTTTAATAAAATTTCTTTCTCCTGTACATAACTTTATCTCAATTTAAAATCAATTTAAAATAATTTATCTTTTTTCATTTATCTGAGGTTAACATGAGTATTTAAATTTATCACAACTTTTAAAAATATTATTCTATATCTTTAATATTTTTGATAAATAATCATTGCATTATATTCAGCTTTTAAATATATTTTATAAAGAAAATGTGAAAAAAAAACTATATAAATATCAAAACAACTTCAGAAAAAAAATTTTATACATCACTTCATCTCAATTTAAAATTAATTTTAAAGTAATTTATCTTTTGCAATTTATCTACAGTTAATATGAGTATTTAAATTTTTCACAAATTTTAAAAATATTTTTAATAACTTTAATTTTTTTATAAATAATCCTTATATTATCTTCAGCTTTTAAATATATTGCATAAAAGAATATGAAAAAAAATGTAAATACCAAAGCCATTTTAGCAAAATTTCTCCTATACATCTTTTCATCTCAATTTAAAATTAATTTAAAATAATTTATTTTTTTTAATTTATCTGTAGTTAATATGAGTATTTAAATTTATCACAACTTTTAAAAATATTATTTAATATCTTTAATATTTTTTATAAATAATCCTTACATTATTTTTAATTTTTAAATATATTTTACAAAAAAAATATGAAAAAATATATATAAAAATCCCAAGACAACTTTAAAAAAATCTTCGTTGTTGATAGTTATTAGTTACATTGCTTTCTCAATGTCCCATTGAAGTAAATGTATTTTTTCCTACTATTAATTTAGTCTCTTTTTTTATTAGTCTAATCTTATCATTATAACTAACATGTTTTTTATGATAGGTACTATTTCACGAAACATACTATTCACTCTTTCATGTAAGAGGTACTATTTCACTAAATATTGTAATCACTCCATCAGGTAGGAATTTTTTTTTTAAATCAATTGTACCATTTTTTTTAGCTGTAATATTTAAAAAAAAAACTATAAAAACTACAAAAACACATATATTTTTATATTTTTACTGTATTGTTTGCAGATTTTTTTTTTTTCATAGATTCTTCACTCGATTAAGTAATATATTTTGTTTTTTAACTAATTATTTATTCAGTATTTCACATTCGTATAAAATAAAAATAATGCACTAATTAATTGATATAATATAATTATGTGCCCTAAACAGAAACCTATGTGCCAGTTGTACATTGAGTGAATAATTTTTCAATTCATATCTTCATTATGAAACATGTAATATAATTTCAAATCAGGAGATTATTTTTTATAAAAAAATTAAAAAAAAAATTTAAGGATAGTCTCATCAGTAGTATTAATTTCAAATTCATTTATATCTTAACTTAAAAGAAATTTCAAAATCATAAAATATTTCACCAAGATTTTTGAAAAAAAAAATATGAATCCTATGATAACTCTGTAATTATGAAACAGAGAATTCCTTCTAACATTTAGTAGAATTTAAAAAGAACTTTGTTTTTTATTTTATTTATATGTTACATATATTTTGAATATGTAAATAATTTAATAATATTAATTTATATTTTTATTTAAATTTAAATAAGGTAACAAATTAGTTTAAGAGATATTATAAAAGGAACACAAATCCAAGTTTGGATATCAGCAGGAACAATTATTTATTTATTTATATTTTTTGTTACAAGAATATTCTTATATTTTGAATTGTGCAAATAATTTTCTTACGAGGCCACTGAATGGATAACCCAGTTGATCTTATCAAGTGCAATAAGCACTATTTTCTTCGTATTGCCACCCCTTCTGAATAGAAATTGTTGCAAACCCAATCTTCAAACTACTGTGATTAAAGAAAGAGGGGCAAAATATCAATGAGTGATGCAATTCCTGGTAGACTTACTGTTTTTTGAGTTGCGTTGCAGCATTAATATCTTGTTTGAGATGATTGACAGCATTCTTAAACTCAATGAACTCCTCATCATGGAAACCAGGTGGGACTGTAAGGTCTCGCATGTCTTTAAAGGTTTTCCAATGTTCTACAGCATCTTGCTCTTTCTGCTCCATCAAGGAAATGATAGCCTATGAAATGATATTCACAAGCATAGGTGTATTAGTTTAAAATTGATCACTTTATTCTGACATGGAAAAGGTAAATAAATTAGTTAAATCTGAAGAGTTAATAATTGAAAAAAAGAAAAGAATTATAACCTTATAAAGAGGACGTCGTGCATCAGAAGCCCCTTCATCTTCTACTAAGCATTTGCACTTCAATGCCTTTTGAGCATCTCCCTACACAGAAATTCCAAAGCAAAATTAGGCCAATTAAGAAACCCTTTTTCCCAGCAGCTAAATGCATATGCAAAAATCTGAAGCATATAAAAAAAGAAATGTGAAGCACGGTGGCAACTGATAAATGCAGTGATGTCTTGATTCTTCTGTTATTCAATGCTTTCTGCCTCCCTCGCATTAGTAAATAGCTTTGAATTTGGCTAAATGCATTTGCCATTCATCAAACCAAATCCCATACATGTACAGCATGTTGTTTGAAAGTATTAATACTGGTCAATTCAAAGTTGTTGGTCACTTCAATCATAGCAATGCAAAATTGGAATATTGTGATGAATTATAAGTAGAATTTGAAGTCAATAAATTAAGAAAAGAAACCTTGTAGATGTGCATTTCCGCAAGCAACATTTCAATCTCATAAGCATCATGAGATTTGCCCTCCTTTTGGGCCTTTTCCAATGCTTTTTTTAGCACTTTTATTGCTTCATCTTCTCTTCTGCTCATTTCCAGCCTCGCAAGAACACGCTTTCAAATCAAATGCAGAGAACATTTTAAAAATCATATCTTACATAAAACTTATAATCATCGAGCATATATATAATAACATGAGTATATACCAATCATGAAATTTGTGTTTGTTCTAATAGAAGGTGTCAAACCTGAAGTTCCTTGAAACGAGGTCGATCGTTTCCAAGTAGAGTCTCCAGTTCTTTTATATTAACATCTGTCTCTGTTGCCTTGCCCCGATACTTGTGATAATCAACCAATCTCTCCAAAGCCTGTTTACCTCCATGGATGGCTGCAATGGACATGGACCTTGCAAGATTGTGCTTTGGTTTCCTATTCCAAGCACGACTCACATATCTCCACCCAAAGCCAATGCAAATACCTCCAAGGATGATAAAGGACGTTGCCGCCACAGCTACCGTTCTATATTTAGTCTCTGCATTGATCTTTTTAGCCGAGTGTGCCATAAGAGACCTTAATTTTTTGCGAGGGAAATATGTTCTTTTTCTTAGGGGATCGATATACTACAGATTAAAATTCATCCAGTATCAAAGGTGAAAGGACAATTGGAGAGAACACTGAAAATGGGGCCATGTGAGGAGGTAAAAGATATCTTGATTTCTGACTTGCTTGATAGGCAAAGAAATCCCCTATATATTCTCGGAATGAGCTGAAGCTCAAGGAAAAAACTTTATTATTCCTTACCCTCCTCCTAAGGTTAGCTGGAGAATATTTGTCATGATATCACAAAATGATTACATAGAATCCGTAAAAGAAAAAAAAAAATGGCTCTAGAATGATAAAATTCCTTCTTTTCTTCTACCATATGTAACAATTACTGATATTCTCAGATTCCTAGTGCATGAATAAGAAAATGAGAGTTCATGTTACTTTAGTTAGAAAGCAAATAATAAGAACAAGAGGTTAGCTCACTTGGTTGATACAACAGATGGTATCTAATATGTTTGGAATTCGAATCCAAGTACTTGCAACCCTCTGGGGCCTTCTTCGCAAATAAAAAAAAGCAAATAATAAGAGTAATAATACCTAATGCCTTGCTTCAACCTGTTAAAAGATAAAAATACTTAATTCTTTATTTTTTTTATTTGTTAATAAGCCATTTAAGATCTGATTACTGTTAGAGTTACAATATTCAATCCCCACTACATTAAGAAAAGGAAAAAGAGAGCAGTATCCTTCAATTTTCAGACCACAAATCAATCTTTCTATGGAATCTGCACTTGTTTTCCTCTATCCCTACTATTTCTTTCCAAAGGCCAAGGCCACTACTGCCTAGGCCACAAAATTTCCTCTCCATTTCCAGCCAATCTCCTCTTTCACTAATTTTCTAGCACTGCCTAATCCCACACGTACGCTTGTGATTCTATAATTCCTGTGGCTCTCAGGTCTATAAAGCCTTAAAGCAATGAAAATGTTAGCAAGAAAATTTTGAGGGACGGAGGGCCATGACCATCTAGTGTCTCTGCTCCTACGCCCTCTCTGTACAATTGGATTGGATGCGTGTGAGTGATGATGAAATGAACCAAGAAACTTCAACTCTCCTGGGAAAACCAATGTTGGAACTTTGGCACTTAGCTAACCAATGTCAACAGATGCAAATTCTTATGTCGGATTCAATTTGGGAAATTGCATTGGAGGAAATTCTATTGAAAAACATAAAATAACCATTTTTATATGCAGCTTCAGGTAGATTGATTCACTATAACTAAGCAACTAAATTAAGATTTTTACAAGAATTAAACCCATAATACTTACAATTTATTGATAATGAAAAGAAAATTATGCACAAACATTTCACATTTTTGGTATATAGTAACAATCTAAATAGGTAAATAGTTTTAAGGATTGAAAGAATTAATAACTGATGGATCGACTTGATTTATCTATTTGATAATTTTCTCTTTGATATTCCTCGTTATAATTTTTTGTTTCTTTTATTGGTGCTTATTGTTTGTCCAACCGAAAATGCTTTGCCAATAAACAAACACTACTTCTCTGTAAAGCAATAAAATGATGCCTTTCTTGACAACCTTGAAAGATTGCAAATTGGAAGAGTGTTCCCTTCTTTATTTAGGAATTGTTCTTTAAAGCAAAGGCCATACAATAATAGTAAAAGACTTCAACCAAAAAATAATAGAATTCTGATTTCACCCCCAAATTTAGGAAAAACCAGTTCTTCATGGAGGCTGCACTTTGCCTAGGCTATGGCCCTTTTCTAAGCATTTCCCTTCGCATGCCTTCCAGCACAAGTACGACACCAGCCTCCACCAAACTTCATTTCGGGTTCAACCATTCTTCTATATCAGTTTCTAGCGGTTTCATGACTAACCGCCGACGATGTCATCATTTCTTTAGTTCCAGACCTCTTGCACTTGACAGATCTAATTCATCAATGCCTTCTGCAAACGAAAAGGATGGTGGCAAAGTTGTTCGAGGGGCAGTTGGGGCTTCTCTGGCTTTGGCTTGTGCTCTAAGTATCATCGGTTGTCGCTGTAAGATGAACCTTAAAGCTATTGCCGGTCCTAAGCAGCAGGTTTATCAGAAAGCTCCATCTTTCCAGCAATTTGCACCTCCAGCACCGAGGAAAATGGCACTGAAGTCATTGTTGGATGTGACTGTGAACCTTGCTTCAAAAGAGGTTAGAAGGGCGAGGGACGTTAGTCCAGGGACACTACCGCCTCCTTCAAGGCATTTGCCTCCGTCCAAGGATCAAATTGATCAACTCAAGGTTCACTTCTATACATATATTTCCATGTCTTAGCAATCACTATCGCGCTATTTGTCTGTTTAACTTTTGCTACTATAGTCTTGGACTTGGTAGAATTCTAAGTTTGTTGCTTTCCTGAGCCTTTCTTCAGAATTAACCATTTTTTATTTGATGAAATATTTAACATTAGAGACTTAATGGCTTCTTTATTTCCATGATTTCTTAATCAGAAAATGGAAACCACTTTACTTGAACTGTGCATGTGTAACTTATCAGAATTACTTATCGAAGGGTGGCAAAAAGAGGACAAGCAAATATGCCAATTCAATAACTACAGTTGTGACTCTGACTCATCTTAAACGTTTGGGTACAGTAGGGACATTAGATCAGAGAAAGAAAGAAAGAAAAAAACGCAATCCTCAATTAGAGTTTTAGCTCACTTTAGTTTGCTATGATTCATTTTATTATTAAAGTTTATTTTTGTAGAAGGAGGCGGTGAGCCTAATGAAACGTGGGCAGCCTGATCAAGCACTATCCATGTTGAAGAATGAATACAAGAAATATGAAATGTCCGGACCTGAGACCGCTTACTATATGAACATGGTACTAGTAGAAATTCTCATCTGTCAGGTATTTCCTATAACTTTTCCTTGTTCTTCTTCATCGATTAATGCAAGTAAGTTCCTAAAACTTAAGTAGCTGGTCATGCTCTGCTTTGGCCGACTAGCTAGAGCACCCAAATCCCATCACGTTGAAGTAGCTTGAATAAATTTTGATAGCAGATGGAAGTTCAAAATATTCTTGTCTGTTGAAATTTGGCAAAACGAATGTATTTTAGTTAAATATTTTTTGTTGCATGGTAGAAATATCACACCAAATAAGGCTGCCTTGAGCCAAAAACAGAAGGAACAGCTGATAAAATTTTCTTTTCTGAAACTGGATTAAATTTTTGCTCCCCTTTTTTTGTTTGATAATGTCTGATTATTATTTGTACACAGGGAAAATACGAAGAAGCCTTTGAGTTTATGAGTGCTTACGATCAAAAAATTTCAGATTTTGATGTTCGGCCTACTCTTTACAAGGTTGGTTAAAATCCATCTAAGGGGACAACATCTAAATTGGATTAACAGAATCTGCCCTTTTTTTTTTTTTGTGAAGTAGATAAGACCTTTCATTATTCATATATAGAATTTCAACTGGCTAGTTTCTAGCATTTGCCAAATTCATAACCTTTTCAAGTCGCATTTTCCTTGAAAGCTATTGCATTGTCAAACAAAAAGTTGACCTGACCATCCTTTCTTTACTTCTTTTTTATTTTTTCCTTTCCTTTGATACCTACAGGCAATTCTATGCACCATGCTAGATAGAGATGAAGAAGGTCAGCAATTATGGGAAGAATTCGCAAGATCCATTGGAGGGTTTTCGCCCTAGGGCTTCTAATTGGCATAAGAAGGCAGGGGAGTTGGGAAGAAACAAAAGAAAACAAAACAAAATCAACAAAATTAATTCCTTACCCTTGAAGTACCCAAAAGAGGGTGGGACAAAAGGAAAATCCACGATTCAAGTTATATAGTATATCATGTATTTCAGCCTCTAAACCAGGGTTGCTCATATGAATCACTATTCTGAGGGTTAGATTGTACTCCAAACAGATCATCTGGAAAACCATTAATGTGAAAAACAAAATTAATCTGTAAGTCTTGTTTTCAAGTAAGGGGCACAGGTATCCAATTAAGAGTGAACCACCTAGAAGCAGAAGAAAGATTTATCAATCAATAATTACTCAATGAGCCAAGCTCAAAATTCTAGTGATATGTGCCGGTATTGTTCTCTGCCCTGTACCAGGGCTAATGCAATTACTTACACAAACCCAATCCAGAACAGTAGCGGGCTTTGAATCCAGAATTTTAGTTGAATTATATATAGTGAGATCCATTTACAATATAAATATATAAATATACTTTCCAAAATCAAAGACAAGGATCGATGATTTCAAACCTAGCAAAGACTCTTGCTCTTGAAAACCCCCAAAGAGAAAAAGGCAAAACTCACCCACTTTGACGTTGCACTCAAGTGTCACATTGGTTCGCATTGACAAAAGATACATATAGTGAACAGAGTTTGACAGGCACGAAGATATTTATGCTGCTTTCAAAAAGATTGTAAAATTATTATTTATACTACAGTAGTAATATATGATTTGATAAAGGTATAAATAAATTATTTTATTCATTCCCCTTACCTTCTTCCTTTCCTTCCAGTCAAAGCCGCGTGCATTGCCAATCTCAATCTCTGTCTATGATTAACCACGTGTCCAACAAACCACATGTGTCAACACTCAACAACACCTCAGAATACCACTTGTGGATCCTGGTCCATAGATGTCTCTGACCACTTTTTGGGGAGGGGGAACCAGTCAGTCACATTTACATCAACCAGAAGAGCTACATCAAATTTGTAAAAAGAAAACAATTAAGAAAAAGGGTTTATGTATTTGCATCATTAGAAAACGATTTTGAAACTTGAAAATAAGCCAAATGAAAGAAAGACGTCAATAATTTCTTCTTGATTCCCACCATTTTTCATCAGATGAAACCCAGACCTTTTATATTTTGGTCAACCCCAGCCAGAAAATTTCATTGGTCCAGTCCTGAAATGGGGACCCAAACAGTGACAGAATCACAATAATTAGCCACGACCCCAAGAACCGAAGCATCTCTCATCGTCGTTAAAATGGTAAGTTAGAAGCACAGGTTTTTCTTGCGCTGGCAAAGGCAAAGGCCAACCTGTACGCCATATATAGCAAAGGTGCTGGGCAGGGCAGCAGAACCGCAGGAGAGAAAGCTGTGCCGAATGACCGGCAATGAAACTAACGAATGAAAACTTGACACGTCTACTCAGTACAAAAACTCACCCTATCCGTCCACGTGCCACGAGCAGAACAACCCTGGGCGTTGAATCATGAATGTGACTGAGCTTCATTGTAGAAGTTAAAAGGTTAACGGCTTTTTTTATGCCCCTATAGAGATAGTGGCCGCGAATCACAAGAAAGAGAGATATCAGAGACAGCCACCAGGCAGGCAGGCAAGGCCAACTTGAGCGACATTGATTTTCTTCTTTTTTTTTTTTAATTGTTTTCTTCTTTTTTATTATACAAATAAAAAAGGAAAAAGAACTGAAAAAAGGGCATTGCTTTGTCATTTCATTTAATCATTACTGTGTATGTCAATGTTTCCATACAAACGCCGTCAATTATCGAATGGTCCACTGCAAGAAAAGGCTTCGAAAGCGCCCTTTCTTTTTGTTGATTATAAAGAAAAAAAAAACCAGAAAATCAAAGAAAACCATACTATTTCGATTAAGGAATTTGTGGGGTGAGGTTGATTAATTTTATTTTTTCTTCTCTTCAACCATCGCCAATATTTAACAATTTTCACTATCAATAATAATAATAATAATAATAATAATAATAATGTATATATTAATAAAGTTATTAAAATATAATCTTTTAATAATTTTAAATATATAAAAATGAAAATTTGAACGTTCTTGCACTCCATCTTATGTATTATCTACAAACCATACATGCTTCTCACATTTAAAGTGAATTAAAATTCTTTCCTCCTAACTAGGATGATTGTTAATAAAATCTAACCATGTTGTTGATGATTGAGAATATGATTCATGTATGAAGCAGCAGCGATGTATGCAGTAGCTTTTTTATTCTGAGAATTACAGTCAATAATATCGCATTATAATTTGCAAAGCAGCAATAAAATTTATTTATTTGTCTGTTAGGGGGAGGGAGGGGCATGTTCCATGGACATTCCCACTAGCACTCTCCTAGTGGATAAAAATGTCACTGAAAACTTGTAAAGAGATGTCTACCTCACTTGCTTTTCCACAGTTTGCATTGACCACTCAACAATAATACCCTATTTCAACTTTCACACTCTCTCCAACCTTAGCTTCTTAACAAAATATGAATAAATAAATAAATAAATAAAATATTATTAGTGCTTAATTATTTAATCTTCATCTGTATGTGTTTTTACAATGAGACAATGGCTTAGCAAACACCAAGCTACGCATCCATTCTTGGGTGCATTGTTCTAGAATTAATTGAAAAGGATTGAATTGGTGATAGATAGCAAATTCAATTCCTAAACCACTTCTTCTGACATTCTACAATTTCACACGGTTTGAGAGAATATATATGTATATATTCCTTTTGTCATCAGAGGGATTGTAGAAGGAGATTTGTCTCTGGGAAATTATAATTGGTTTAAAGTTTAAAACAAAGTTAGATATGACTGTTTAGATTTTCCTTACTTTTAAGTAATTTGCAACATAGAAGGTTCAAATTTCTCCTATGTGTAAGTTTAATTGTTCAGTTATATTTTAATTTGTTAGTTAAATATTATTTAGTGATCATAACTTGACTATAATATAGTAATTGATTATTCAATTAATTATATAAATAAAATATTTGATTATAATTTTAATTTTTAAAAAATATATAAAAATTTATTTCAGTATCTAATTTTTGAGATATAACTGATCTATAGCCATAATTTCGCATAAAAAAATGTGTATCGCAAAAACGTGACTGGGTGTATATGGTAAAAGTTTGGGTGATTATAGCAAGAATTGAAATCGAATCTTGGTTTTTTATCTGAAATGGGAATTGCGGGAGGGAGAAGGTTAAATATTTGTATTATAACCATTATTATCCAAATGAAAATTCCGTTGGTCATGAAACTTGAAACGTTTCTATTCAAACGTGTCAATGCATTAATCCACAAACTCAATTGAAGTTTCACAAGTAACTGGTGCTCCACCCGGAACTATTAAATTGTCAATGTTGGTTATTGAATCAGAACTGTTTGTTTTGGTTAATTGTTTGCAGGAAGTTGGATTGTGACAGAAACCCAAAATTTTCAGCTCCTTCATTTCCTTGTTTATCAATGGTGCCGATCAATAGCTGACTTTTTAGGCAGAAGTTGGCATGTTCAATGGCACGGCTGTTCTTGTTCTCGACCAAAGAGAAACTTATTTTTGACTGCACTATATATGATAAAGAAATAGCCATTCATTGATCGTCATTCATCTACAAAGCAATTGCTTCGTCTACAGAGAATGACACTTGAATTCCGGAAATGCCATTGCTAAGACAATTTTGATAGAATTTCCCTATCAAATTTGACATTTCTATATAATTTCTCTACAAAATCTATTAAACCAATTATCGAACCATTGAATAATTGGATAAATTCAACATAAAATTAAACAATTTATTTATGAACTTGAAATATGAAGATTCCAAAACTTACTTCTTGTCAATAAAACATGATCTCGATGGCTTGATTAAGTACAATTAAGCTATATATTTGATATTATAATTTATCTTAATTTCAAGAAGAACTTGCAAAAGATTTAATTCATTTCTTTTTTTTATACACATAATGGATCTCACTCTACGCAATACTATTGTTAGAGAGATTGCCATGCAGATTTGTTTAAATTTGGAATATCTGCTTACGTTATAAAAATCTGTCACCACTAATTAGCAATAACTGTGACAAAATTGATTATGCCATTAGTTTCTTCTCTTAGTTTTACGCAAACATGACGATATAAAGTGTAGCTACATAAATCATCACTAAACTAGGCAATACTGAGAGAATGTGCATGGCACCTCTTAAAAATCGACAAGGTATTCATGAGAAAGAGGGTTTTCTTTTTTACATTGAAAATTAAAATATATTAAAGTTGAGAATAATTCGACGAACCCCGAACTTGGCGAAGGAGTTTGCAAAATGATTGATTTCTCCAAATACATGAACAAAAGAGATCTTTCCCAAACCCGAATATAAATTATAAAGCTTATTTATAAGATTGTATTTCCATGACTGTCAAGAATTTTATTTAACCAAGAAATCACTACTTTAAAGTCTCTTTGAGTTATAAGTTGTGGTGATGGATTTGACGACAATGGAAAGAGCCCAGCAATAACCAAGAGTTCCGCCAAATTTGAGTAAACAATTATACCAAAACGACAATGGAGAAAGAGGATTAATAATAGACAGTTTGACACTTATTTATGTATAGCTGTACTTCAGGCACGACTGATAATATGGCACTTTCAGTGGTTTCAAAACAAAATCATTGTCGGAGAGTACATTAATGGAAGGGTTGCTATCAATACTATTCTTCTAAACCTAAATTAGCTCTGAAAGCTAATTAGTCTATTTGAATGAAAGCAAAAAACAATGTTATATACCCTTTTTAAATATACTCCTTAAAAACATTTATCTCTTGTTATATAAAGTGATCCAAAACTGGCTATGTATCTATTTGGCATTTAAGTTTTTTCAAATATACTTTTTTGAAATTTTATAAAATTAATAACGACTTGTTATTGGAGTTTG